AGGACTAAGATCAGGAAGAATTTCTTCACTCAGTTGTAAACCTGTGGAATTCTCTACCACGGGTAGCTGTTGGCACCAGTTCTTTAGAATATATTCAAGAGGTAGCTGGAGTTGACCCTTGTGGCTAGAGGGATCAAGGGGTACGGAGACAAAGCAGGAATGGGATACTGAAACTGCATGATCAGCCAAGGCCATATTAAATGGTGGTGCAGGCTCAAAGGGCTGAATGGCCTACTCCTGCACTTATTTTCTATATATCTCAAAAAACCGTGATGTGCCTAGATAAGATGAATGACAAGAATCTTTTCCCTAGAGTGGAGAATTCAAAACTAGGAGGCATATTTTTAAGGTGAGGGGAAAAAGATTTAAAAAGGAAAGAGGGGCAACTTTTTTAACAGAGTTCATATGTGGAATGAACTGCCAGAAAAAGTGGTGGATGCAAGTAGAGTTACAACATTTAAAAGACATTTGGATAAGTTCATGAATAGTAAAGATTTGGAGGGATATGAGCCAAGAGCAGGCAGATGGGACTGTTTTGTGGGGGAGCATAGTTGGTGCAGACTGGTTGGACTAAAAAGGGTCTGTATCTATGCTATATCACTCTACGACTGTACTCTTACGAGATACCCATCCTTCCCCAACTGTACGCTTTGGTTCATCCATATGCTGCCCATATTTTTTACATCAAGTATTATTCATCAGTTACTCCAATCCTCTATAACTTATATTAGTCCTCTCACTCCACCATTGCTCAAAACTTTAAATGTTAATCTTACATAGAGTTATCCCTCCATTTCTTCACAACCTCCAAGCCCAACAACTCCCCCACTTGCACAACCAAATGCTCTTGGGCACTGATATAAAACTATAATAAAGAACTGCAAATGCTGGAAATCTGAAACCAAAAAAAAAAAAAAAAAGAGACTGCTGGAGAATCTCAGCAGCGTCTGTGGAGAGAAAACACAGTTAACAGTTCGAATCCAGTTGAGCAGCTGAAGATGCCTTTTTGAACTTCTCCAACTTCCTGCCAGTCTTTAAGTATCTTCTTAGATTCACAGTTGAACAGCTCCTCCTCAGACTTTCTAAAGTTCTTTGGCTCAGGGAAATTTTTCCTCAAGCCTCAGTGATATAACTAGAGTGTTTTCTGCACAAAAGACTATTTAAAAGCAAGTTACTGTTGATATGACATATCAGTCATATTGAATATCAGTGATTTAGCCTGCGTCATTCTTTGAATGCTGTCTAGCCTGTAGACACAAGAGAATAAGAACATACATATATGGAGAAAAGGGAGGTCAACACTAACTTAATGTGCCAAAATGCCAAGCAGAAGAATTGTTCATTCTTCTAAAGTAAAGTTTGAATTCTTTACTAAATCTTACTTCAAGTTTTTTTTTCAGGTCATTTTCCTTTGTCTGATTTTCCTTTAAGATTTGGTTAGAACAAGATAATTGTTGCTTAATTTCATCTAGTTCTCTTTCTAGTTTTTGTTTGTGTGCTGTTACCTGCAACAAAAAAAAAATCAAATGTTAATCACCTTTCGATCACTTGTTGTCCTTAAGTAAAATCAAAGTATTTTATAAGATTAGTTTTCTTAATTTGAAAATAATTAAACCTTACTTAAATTGAAATTATAATGAATGCACTGTAAGTCCCAGTTCTGAAACACCTTGTACACCAAAGTGAGAAATTTGCATATTATTTGAATCATAGTTCACGTTGCTTTTAGAGGAATTCAACAACGAGACTGGTTAGTTACTGCTTAAAAAAAACTTGAGCAAAGGAGTCTAAATTTGTCAGTAAGTGCATTCATTCAGATAGTTCACTACTGCAAGTTGTACACATTAGATACATCAGTTGAGTCCAAAATTACATACTTTATCACTGTCCAACTGCAGAGCATTGTAATCATTTTTAGCTTGCTGTAACTCCTGGTTCAGCTTATTTTTCATTTGGCTGAATTGTTGGTCCAGGTTGTGCAGTGAGTGTTGTTGATGAGAAAGCTCCTATGAAACAAATAAAATTCAGAGATTAAATATACAGACGTATCTCCATACAAGGAGCCCTGGCAAAGCTGGAGTCAATGGGAACTTGGGTGAAACCTCTCCGATCAGTGGAATCATATCTAGCACAAACGAAGATGATTGTGGTTGCTGGAGATCAATTGTCTCAAACACAAGATATCACTGCAACAGTTGGGGCAAGTGAGACTTGAACAGATGTTCCAGCCAAAAGGTAGGGGCACCGCAACTGTGCAACAAGAGCCCAATGAATTCCTCAAGACACACATTTTCTATTCAACCTCGAGATATATTACTACATATCTCTGGAGCAGGTGGAATTTGAACCTCGCTCTCCTGGCTTAGAAGTAGGAACACTACAATTGCATCACTATACGGTCTTAGACCCAATGATTTTTAGTTGTTTCATTAATCATTTGCTCTCCATCATAAGATCAGAGGTGGGTATGCTTGTTGATGATCGCACAAGTTCAGATACTCAAGTAGCCCATGTCAATCTGCAGCAAACCTGGACAACATCCAGGGCTTGGACTCTTAAGTGGCAGGTAATATTCATACTGCACAAGTGCAAAGCAATGACCATCTTCAACAATACAGAATATAACCATTTCTCCTAAACATTTAATGGCATTAACATAGCTATCAATATCTTGGGGTTACCATTGACCAGAAACTAAACTGGATCGGTCATACTGATACTGCTGTAGTTACGAGAGCAGGTCAGAGACCGAAAATTATGCTGTGAATAACTAACTTCCTGACTCCTCAAACCCTGCCCAGGCACGAGTCAGGTGTGTAATTGAATGTTCTCTACTTGCCTGATTGAGTGCAACTCCAACCACACCTTTGAAGGTCAGCACCATTCAGGACAAAGCAACCTACTTGATCCGCACTCCAACTGAGACCTTCAACATTCATTTCCTTCACCACTGACATAAACTAGCAGTAATGTCTAGCATCTTCAAGGTGCAGTGAACTAATTCAGTAAGACTCCTTCAACAGTATATCCCAAACTTCTGATCTGTACTGTCGAGTGTGACAGCGAACAGATACATGGAAACAACACTATCTGAAAGTTTCTCTCCAAGGTACATACCATTCCAACTTGGCCCATTCCTTTACTGCCACTGGGTCAAAGTGCTGAAACCCCCTAACAGTGCCAACATCATAGGAATAGCAGCATTTCAAGAAGGCAGCTCACCAGCACCTTATCAAGGACAAGGCCAAGGCCAGCATTTGTTGCCTGTTAGCCACCACCCTTGAGAAGGTCGTGTCTACTATCAAACCATAACAATCACCTAAAAATATTACAGGTCACTGAAATATACATATCCTTTTTACTCGAGAGAGAAAGTGGCACACAAGAGAAAGCAATGGGAAGTAATGGAGCGGCATGGGAGTGGACATGAGAGGAAGCAGCACCTATCTGCCTGTTTGATTCTGCAATGAGGAAAGAATGATGACCACTTTGTGAAGGGCCATTGCTGAGAACCATTGTTTCCCCACCTCCTCGCAGTTCTAGAAACTAGTCCTGCTCTGTTCATTCTCCAGTTATGCTCAATGCCAGATGAAGCTCCACTAGGTCACTCATACCTAGAGGTTTGTGCAATAGCCTTTAAGTCAAAGATGTACTTCAGTTCTTGACAAACCACTCTGTGGGCTACTGAAGCTTTAAATAATTATGGAAAAGCACCCAAAACTTAGAAATTGCAGGAGCAGCCAGAAGAAATCATCCAGCAAATAACTATCAAATGATTGCTGATCCCTTTGGATAACACTTGGATGGAGTGGGTTTGCAAGGGGAGATTTTATACATTCAATGGTATGAAGGAACACGCAATGCTAAGGATCTCAGAGACTGCAGTGTGGAATTAAAACATGGCATTGAGATTAAAGCATCATCACACACTGATGGAAGTTACAAATTTGCCTGTTCTATGTTGTCCCAGTGGTTGTTAGTTTGCCTATACACACCCCTTTGTAAATACTGTGGTCCAGTGCACTTTCTATTAGAAATGTGCATGCATGTGGGCATGATGTTGGCAGTTGAAGAGGTCCATAAAAATAGGTGCCAGTAGAGCCCTTTTTGATCCTCAATCTCAGCATAATGGCTGGATTTTAAGGATCATTGTGGTCCTATCCTATTCCACAGCTAGAAAGCCAGCAACGAGCATGCGCATCATACTGTTGGTTGCACCTTAGCAATTTATGATCGGAATCAGCATTAATTGCTAGATCACAAGACTTCTGCCCTAACTTGAGGGAAAGTCCTGTCTTGAGAGCTAGAAAAATGGAAGCTCTGTAGTCCCAGCAACACCACAAAGCATCACTGACCACTGCTGGGATTACAGGCAGAAATAACAAAAACGAGAGATAGTGGGAACTGCCAATGCTGCAGAATCTGAGATAATAAGGTGTAGAGCTGGATGAACACAGCAGACCAAGCAGCATCAGTGGAGCAGGAAAGTTGACGTTTCGGGTCTGGACCCTTCTTCAGAAATGGGGGAGGCGAAGGGGATTCTGAAATAAGGAGAGGGTGGGGGAGGCGGATGGAAGATGGATAAAAGGAGCAGATAGGTGCAGAGGAGACAGACAGGTAAAAGAGGTGGGGATGGAGACAGTAAAAGGTGTGCGTAGGTGGGGAGTTGGGGGGGATAGGTCAGTCCAGGGAGGACGGACAGGTCAAGGAGGCAGGGAGGGAGGAGGTGAGGGTGGGGCTTGAGGCGGAAGGAGTGGACGGACAGGTTAGGGAGGCAGGGACGAGCTGGGCTGGTTTTGGGATGCGGTCGAGGGAGGCGAGATTTTGAAGCTTGTGAAGTCCACATTGATACCATAGGGCTGCAGGGTTCCCAAGCGAATTGAGGCGCTGTTCCTGCAACCTTCGGGTGGCATCGTTGGAACACCTACGCTCGGTTCACACGAAACAACTGCACCTCCCAGTCGCGAACCATTTCAACTCCCCCTCCCACTCCTTGGACGACATGTCCATCCTGGGCCTCCTCCAGTGCCACAACAATGCTACCCAAAGGTTGCAGGATCAGCAACTCATATTCCGCTTGGGAACCCTGCAACCCTATGGTATCAATGTGGACTTCACAAGCTTCAAAATCTCCCCTCCCTCGACCGCATCCCAAAACCAGCCCAGCTCGTCCCCGCCTCTATAGCCTGTCCGTCCACTCCTTCCACCTCAAGTCCCACCCCCATCTCCTACCTACCAGCCTCATCCTGCCTCCTTGTCCTGTCCGTCCTCCCTCGACTGACCTATCCCCACCGTAACTCCCCACCTACAATCACCTTTACTGCTCCATCCCCACCTCTTTGACATATCTGTCTCCTCTCCACCTATCTGCTCCTTTATCCATCTTCCATCCGCCTCCCCTTCTCTCTCTATCTATTTCAGAATCCCCTTCCCGTCCCCCATTTCTGAAGAAGGGTCCAGACCCGAAACGTCAGCTTTCCTGCTCCTCTGATGCTGCTTGGCCTGCTGCGTTCATCCAGCTCTACATCTTGTTATTGAATAACAAAGACGAGCTTGGATTGGCAGATCAATCCAGGCTATCACTAGGGCCAGGCTGGGAGTTGCTGGTAAGGAAGGTCATGGGCCATGTTAAAGTCAGATGGACTAAGTAGAGGAGGAAACGTAATCTGGAGGAGATGCAGAGTTGTCTCTGATGGGCACAGTGCCCAGCAATGTAGATTTTCTTCAATAGCCCCCACACTTTTCCTGACTGTAACGTATCACATAGCTGGACCTCCTCCAGTGCAGGTAAAATGGTTGCACTGGCAGGATGTTCGCTATTAGTTGCCCATTTAAGAACCTCAAAAGCTCCAAGGGTACACTAGCTGCCATTTCTCCCCTTGTCACTCAAAATAACAGACAGACAGTCTAGGAATAGGAAGCAGGGAAGTTACGCACTGGATTTTACAGCATCCAAGCCATTCATATTTTTAGGATGCCAAACATGCAGAAATAGTAACTGATAGAGATCTATAACACAAACAGAAGGCCCTTTGGTCCATCATATCTGCACCAGGCAAAAACCACCTAAATATTCTAATGCCATTTTTCCAGTAATTCTACAGTACTCAATTACGTAGCTAAAAACAGAATTTAGTTTCTTCAGTAGTGCATTATTTTAAATTTGCCCCAAATGTTTGATAATATTTCAGTAGTTCTTTTTCTTATTCTGTTAGTGATACTCTTGCTTTGGTAAAGGATGTACTCCTTCTCACTTTGCCACCCTATCTTTGGCAACATTCATCAAGTTAGGTTGGTAGATGTGAAAAAACCTAAAGGAAATTCATCCTCATGACTGAACCCCCAGTCACAAGTGTCAGATACAACAGTACATAGAAAGTGCATACATACCAACAATTGCTTTTGTCTTCAAAACTACAGTGCTTGCTTTTACTTGAGAAGGTTTTGATTTCAAATAACTCTAATGCTGCATACCGAGAGCATTTTTATCACCTGTTGGAAATCCTTTTCCTTATCTTTTAACTTCTGTTCCATGTTTCGTCGTGTACTTTCAGCATTTTGTCTATGGCAACTCAGTTCATCAGATACCTGCTTCAGCTTTTGTTCAACCATCAGACACTAACAAAAACAGAAAAAAAAAAAAAATGGATGTGACTTCTATATCCTGGAATGGATTCTGCCACAAATACATGCAAGAAAAAATAATTTAAGAAATGTTTAGGTTCGTGGAATATAATGCATAACATGTGTAAATCTTAAAAGAAACCTCGATTAATGTTATTTATACCCAAAACGATAGACAAGTTGAGTTCACAAGTGTTGTCACAGTTATAGCTTATATCCTCATCAAATTAGGACATGAAATGTTTTTGCCTTTTTGATCAAATTAATCCTCTATTCTTAGCTGAAGATGGTGGCTGGAATCTTCCTGTCACCAATCAGACAGGAGTGGGAGTGTGGTGCAAAAAAAAACCGAGTAATATAGGTGGAAAACACCACTCCCTCTGCAACAATTTATCAAGAGGGTGGGCCTCAGAGCTCATCCACTTCTATTAACACCTCAGTTTACATATTTGTGCTAAGTTTGTCAAATGCAATATTAACATTTTCAGCTTTCAATTTTGAGAGATAGCAAAAGATTGGATTTTTAAGGCTAAGATAACAAAGTGTGGAGCTGGAGGAACACAGCAGGCCAGGCCGCATCAGAGGAACAGGAAAGCTGATGACCTGAAACGTCAGCTTTCCTGTTCCTCTGATGCTGCCTGCCCTGCTGTGTTCCTTCAGTTCCACACTTGGTTATCTCTGACTCCAGCATCTGCAGTTCTTGCTATCTCAGATTTTTAAGGCTTTATTTTTTTCTAACAAAAAATGTTATTTATCTTCTGGATTAAGTTCACTATTTTAGAGAGGCCTAACCTCCAATTTTTCAATCTTTACTTCTTATTTTCACCATCTGTAATCACAAGAGATTGCCAGTCTTAGTTTCCGAAACTTCAGAATCCAGCCATATACAATTTTCATAGTTAAATTGCTATCGCTTTTAACTCAATGCATACAGCTTTAAAGAAAGAGCTCTGAAAAAAGCAATTTCTCGAATGGAATAGGTTCAAACTCATTCTCCAGATAGGGCATTTGTCCCTTTCGAAAAGGCATTAAGTAAATTCAGAAAAGGATGATAAATGAAACTTCACCTACATTATTTTGCTGCTTTGATTAAAAACAAAAAGTAGATAAACATGAAGAAACATCTTCATGTATATGAGTGGTGAATAATGATAAGACAAATGAAATATCTTAAGTTTGGTTTTGCAAACTGGAAATGCACTTTGCTATAAATAAATCGAAGTAAAATTTATAAATAAGCAATAAATGCAACTTGCTATAAAAGAAATTGGAGTAGTGTGTAAAGTGTATCACAGTTTCCAACTGAATTTTCACAGGTTTTAAATAAAATCAAATGAACAAATTTCTGTTGATATTGGAAAATTAAGGGATCTGGGACTTGTCATGAAGATGGCCTATATGGAATATTAAATTGCAATTACATTGTTTTAGTTACATATATGTAACAAAAACAGTTTCAGTAACAAAGGGAAAGGGGTCTGACTTAAAGTAGCTGTTAAATTTCACCTGTGAAGACACATACCACTTTATGCAGGCACAAAGTCTATGGAAACTTTAACAAAGACAATGGTACCCTTGAAGGTGTGAACAGCTCCTTCCGATCTTGTCAAGTTGGAGGATGGATCATTCAAGAGTAATGGTTGGGACATGATTTTTTTTTTTTTTTTTTTTTTTTAAGATCACTTCAGCCATATAATGGTGACTGAAGAAAAGCTATAAAAGACATTTTATATTCACTGGAACGGACAACTGGCACAGGCATAGATCATGTGAACCAGCTCTTTGAATATATAACTACTGGCAGACAGAACAACAGGAATTGACTGCCTTTACATCTGTCTCGTTTTCCCATAGAAATGTCTCAAGAATGCACCCGAATTGGGGCTTTAAAATCAGACAGAAAATCGCCTTGCTGCAAACAGAAAATTTGATCCCAGCTAAAAATGACTTGAGGAGGGGGGGACATATCAGGCACTAATGTAAACCAACTGCCTCAATAAAAACCTAAACAGGTAGATATAATCAGTGTTTCCGCACTGTAGGATTCTATGAATCTTTATTGACTTTCCAATGTTTGAATCTGCACTCCCAACTTGGCACTGTTTAACATCTGATTCTCTGTAAAGTTGTATTTCTTTTCTGCATTACTGGAAAATAGTATAAAGTGTATAAATACATCCTTTTAGCAATAAAACTTTAATTTTACTGGTCTAACTCAAGAATAATTGTCTAGTATAAATCAACTGCATATTGAATTGACATACTTCTAAAGAATTCAAACACTTATTGCAGTCAGACATAAAGTGGGAAAAGGGCAAAACTAGTCTTTTCCTTCTCACCTGGTTATAACAGGATACACTCAGAAATAACTAAAAGAAGCAACTCAGCTTTATTAGGTTCATGAGGTAAAGCAACCAAGGATCAGGGAACAAAAAAGAATTCTAGAAGAACAAAATTAAAAAGTCAGGGAAATTAACTTAGTTGTATTCAGGCACGCTTGGAATGCTGTATACAGGACAGGTCATATTATAAAAATACAGAAGCAGTTGACATATTGTGCAAAAAGAAAGATTTTAAAGAGGTAATACCAGAACTGGTAAGTAAACTTTTTAAAGAAAGCAGCTGAGCAGTGACCTGACAGAGATCATTAAGATAGTAAAAGGTTATGATTGGGTAAAAATAGAGAAAATGTCTCTACTTCTGAAGAGATGGAGAACTAGTGATCATAAATGTAAGATAGTCACTAATAAATCCCACAGGGAAATTAGGAGACCCTTCTTTATCCAGAATGTGGAATGCAATATTACAAAGAGCATTTGAGGGAAATATAATTTATTAATTAAAAGGGATAGCTAGATAATCTTGTAACAACAATGGAATTTACTGATTTAGTTAGGAGGAGGAGGAGGATGAGACAAGATTCATGTGAGCGTAAATGCTGGCATGGGCCAGTTAGGTCAAATGGTTGTTTTGTGCAGGAGATTCAATGTAACATTCTCATAAGGTAAGACAAAATAAAATTGGAAAATGATTCAATTTCAAGCAAGTACCTGACATTTAAGAATAATGTATAGTTATTGATTTTAAAAACTGAATAAAATTAAACCAATTAGCTACATTATTATCATAGAATTTACTGGTCTGAAAAATTAACATAACAGTGAATTAATAGTTCCTACTGTACCTTAGTACTGGCTTGTTCACACTGTGCTGTTACCTTGGTCAATTCATCTCTGGACTTACTGAGTTTTTGTTCTTTCTCCGAAAGATCTATTTTAGCTTTATCAAACTGGAACTGGATTTCATGAAGTTTGTTCAGATGATTTTTCATTTCTTTCTCCTGAGCTTTAAGTTGAAATTCCAGATCCGAAACTTTAGTTTGCAGGTCTTCAAAAGAAAAGTGCACACTTTTCATCAGCTCTATAAATTAAGTACTGCTGCAGTACAGCACTTAATCATTTACTCTGCTTGAAACACTTCAACTATTAGAACTATTTCATGCAAGAGCAATATAACAGCTAGCACTGAAATACTTCAAAAAACACAAGGGCACCAGCAGGGTCTGCAATTGCAGAATTCAGTTTATCACAGGCTGTTGGATCCAAAATTTATATTCAAATTTATTATTTCAAATTTTTTTTTTTATGATGAATAAACCATTATTTAAATATAAATGTTCTGCAAATGGCAAATTTCTGTCAGCCAATACTTATCACCATTCAAACAAGCAATTCAATAAAATGAACCTTTGTTGAATTTACTAATTTCAGGTCATATCTTATGTGGAAATAGAAATTTAAATAAAAATATTAATTTTTTTTTAAAAGTGCTGGCTTATCAGTTATGCTTTCATTCTTATTTTAATAAGTGTTCAACTATCTGGTAAATGGGAGTACAATGTGGGAAAATGTAAAATTGCATTTTTATTCTTCTTGCTAAAATGGACATATTGTCTAAATGGTGAAAGATTGCAGAGCTGAGATGCAGATGGCTCTGGGTACCCTACTGCTTACGTCACGGAAAGCTAGACTGGAAGAAAGCAAGTAATTAAGAAAACTAACGGAATGTTAATTATTGTGAGGGAAATTGATTTGAAAAGTAGGGAGGTTATGCTTCAGTTATGGGCACTGATGAGACAATATCTGAGTTCTGTGTACAGTATTGATCACCTTATTTAAGGTAGGATGTAAATGTGTTAGAAGCAATTTAGCGGAACTTTACTCAACTATTACATGTAATGGGCTTTTGTCTTATGAGGAAAGATTGGACAGGCTAGGCCGTTTTCTTTGGAATTTATAAAAGGAAGCGACGACTTGGTTGAAGTAAGAAATCCTGAGGGATTTTGACAGGACAGACATTGAGAGGATGTGGGAGAATGTAGAACTAGGGGTCACTGTTTAAAAATTAGGAGTTGGGCAATTTAAAGAGATTATGCAAAATATTTCCTCACAGAGGCCCATGAGTCTTTGGAACTTACTTTCCAAAAAAGGTAATGAAACATCAACTTTTGAGTATTTTAAGGTATAGGTAGATAGATTTGTGGCAAGCAAGGGGTTGGAAAGGTATCAGGGGTGGGTTGATATTTGGATTTATGGTTAAAAATGAAATCAGTCATGATCTTATTAAATAATGGAGCAGGCTTGAGGGCTGAATGGCTTACTCCTGCTCCTTATTCATAACATTTTTGTTAAGAGCGCATAGTTAAATTTAAACTGGCCACTGGCCAATAATATGACAGCTTCATGACTAATTTAAGGACTTAGCCAGCGAAATTTTCTCGTTGTTATTGAAATCCATTTTTCTCTGTAGAAATATGGACCATCCACTCTTGCACTGATAGCAATACAATGACAGCTCCACACGAGTGTAAATTGTGGAACAGAAAATTTAAATCATCCAGAAGCTGAAAATCATTAACCAAATCAAGCAAGGTGCGATGCTAGTATATTCATTCAAAAAAAAAAAAAAAAAATTAGAATTTCTGCACCCAACACGTTGCGGTTAGCTTAAAGATGAAGAAAGGTTGAAATACATCATGTCAATTTAGATGGATGACAGAAGTATAAAGCAGTCCCACAACGAGGTGATTTTGAGATGTGTTCACTATGGATCATCATGGGGCCCTAGTGTATTTGAATAAAGAGAAGGTAATGCTACATTGAATGCTGACTTTGCATTACTTCACACTATACCAAGAAATGAAAGTATAAAATTGATACTATTTGATCGCAGTGAACACTTAGTATATTGCTGTGTGAAAGACAAAAAGATTTATCCTTATGCAGTATAGGATTCACTTCTAAAGTTGAATTCAGGGTGCATTACTTAGGTTGAAGAAAGAATGTTAACAATGGGTAAGAAATTGAAGAACACTGCAGGATGCCTCAAAGATTAGAATTAGAAGGACAAATCAATAAGTATATTTAGTGAAATAGGGTATAATATCCATGCTTGAACACTACTTGTGATCCTCATGGTTCTTAGAATTGTAAAATGGTTTCCGAAAGCAGTTTCTCTCAAAATGGTTAGTTATGAGCAATTATTTTTGGGTCGCTACAATACCTTGATTTTGTAATTTCAGTTGGTCCTCCTGCTTAGAGCTGTCTGCACTGTTATTAAACCAGCTTGTTGATTGTGTAGTCTTTTGCAGTGATTTGGGACAATGCTTCAAAGGAGTTTCTTCCTGGTCCCATTGAAAATTCATGGCAACACCCTTCTTCAATGGGGTTTCTAGTGAATGAGAGGTTTGGTGACTTGGAGTCTGTTCTTGTTGCCATGGAAATATAAAAGAGGATCGTTGATGCGCAATATTCCGATGGCTAATGGTGCTTTGAGGCTGCGTCTGGTTAAACAACTAAAAAAATAAATTGGAAAAAATTCAATTCACAAAAGGAGTTCTCTAACAAGTGTTCTACTGTAAATATGTTTGTTAATCTGAAATTGAGAACACTATTGCCGTATGAACTTTTATTTACAGCATAGATATAAACCCAGACTACAAAAGAAGCAGGAAAGCGTACGCCCTCATTGTGCAATCCAGGTCATCAGGAAAGTGCCTTGCTACTTTAGAGGTTAGAATTATTGAGAAGTACCACAATATCACTTAGCATTTATTTGAAGTTTCTAAAATCTATATTGCAAATTGCTTTAAAAAAGACTCCGCCCATAGAAAATTAGGTGGGAGGAGCTAGAGCATTGTTAAAGAACTGATTTTTCAAAACAAGGATCCTAAAGGAGCCCAGGGACAGAACTACAGAGTATGGGGCCGAAGTAGCTGAAAGCAGAGCTGCCAACAGCGGACTGAAAGATAGGTATACAGACTGGGTTTAGTAGAAAGAACAGTTCAGGAGGAAAGGTCAATTGTATGATTAGGGCATGTTACAGAAATACAGTAGATTAAGCAACGAGTGGATTGAAAGATGAGAATAAACAAATACCAATTATAAATCTTAGCAATTTGTGTCTGGTCCTGTGGGGTACTAATCTTATCGGTCTCTTTGTTGTATCAGTCACTTGAACCATCTGTGCCCCATTTGACTTAGTCACTAGACCAATAATCATTGCCCCTTCCTGCCAAAATTTTGCCCCAGTGAAGCCTCGCCAGTAAACAAGGCTTTTGAGAAATTACTTGCCAAATCACTACAGTGTTGGTGTGGCTTTTATCCACCAACTTATGCTTTCATCTCACTTCCTGTACTCCACAGGCCCTGTCCTGTGTCAAACAACTCACCATTCCCCCCTTTACAACTCTCCTTTAAAACTGTGGTATCTTCCCTCACGTTAATCCTCAATAAGCATCTCACTAAATTATACTCCCTAAACCTCCAAACTGCATCCTTCTATCTTCAGTTACTCATTACTTCTTCTCTTGCTTTCGGTCCTCTGAATTCACTCCCTCCCCCACCCACACAGTCCACATTAGAATCTTTCCTTCATACAACTCCTTCTACCCATTCTTACTACCAGCCTCTCAAACTTAGCATGTCCCACAGTGTCCATTTCCATTGTCTCTCCAAATGCTTCCTCGTCACTCTTAGCAGCCACAACCCTAACTCCATTATCAGACAACCTAAAGTTTCTGCCAATGCTTCCGGTCATCTGTAGATGCATGCAACTGCACTCAGAGGATAACGTGGTCTCTTACAAGATGTCCTATTTAAGACGCTGTGAATGCAATGTGTACAAAATTGAAAGGTACCATCCATTGATAAAAAGAAACCATGTACGATGAAAACATTGAGGGAACATTGCTTACTGCTGCACTTTTTCAAATCTTAACTGTCAAGTCTTTGGCCCTCTATTTTCCCCAACATGCAATTTTTTCATGCACTTGTGGGACATGGGCACCACTGGCCATCCTGAATTTCCTTGAGAAAAAAAAAAAATGGTGCTGACCTGCCATCTTGAACCCCTGCAGTCAACATGCTGTAGGTTGATTCACAATCCCCTTAGGGAGAGAATTACAGGATTTTGACCTAGTAATAATGAAGGAATGGCGATATATTTCCAAGTCAGGATGTCAGAGGCTTGGACGGGAACTTGCAAGTGGTGGTGTTCCCATGTAAATGCAGTGCTGGTCCTTCCAGATGGAAACGGTCATGGGATGGGAAGGTGCCGTCTGAGGAACATTGGTAAAGTTCTACAGTGCATCTTGAAGATAGGACACATTGCTGCTAGTGAGTGTCAGAGATTGCTGCATGTGGATATGGTGCCAATCATGCAGGCTGTTTTGTCCAGGATGATGTAAAGCTTCTTCAGTGTTGCTGGAGCCTGCACTCATCCAGCCAAGTGGGGAACACAGCATCATATTCCTGACTTGTACCTGGTTAATGATGTACTGGCTTTGGAGAGTCAGTAGAAGAATTAGAATCCCTACAGTGTGGAAACAGGCCCTTCGGCCCAACAAGTCCACACCGAACCTCAGAGCATCCCATCCAGATCCATCCCCCCCATGACCCATCACCTCCCTGAACACTACGGGCAATTTAGCATGGCCAATCCGCCTAACCTGCACATCTTTGGACTGTGGGAGGAAACCGGAGCACCCGGAGAAAACCCACGCAGACACGGGGAGAATGTGGAAACTCCACACAGACGGTCGCCCGAGGCTGGAATCGAACCCAGGTCCCTGGCGCTGTGAGGCAGCAGTGCTAACCACTGTGCCACCGTGGTATTACTCATTGTCCCTGACCTGCTGTTACAGCTGCTGTGTTTATGTGTCAAGTCCAGTTGAGTTTCTGGTCAATGGTAAGGGTGTTAAATATTGTGGATTCAGTGATGGTAACACCATTGAATGTCAAGGTGCAGTGATTAAATTATCTTTTATTAGAGACAGTCACTGCTTAGCATTTGTGTGAAGCGACTGCCACTTGTCAGCCAAAGCCTGGCTATTGTCCAGATCTTGTTGCATTTGAACTTGGACTGCTACAATATCTGAAGAGCAAATGAATGGTGCTGAACTTTATGCAATCATCCCCCCTCTTGTCACGGCTCATAGTATTTGCAGTATCAAGTGCTTGCAATCGTTTCTTGATCTCATGTGGAGTGAATACAATTGGCTCAGACTGATATCTGTGAATCTGTAGACCACTGGGGGAGGCCAGGATTGAACATTCACTGAGCACTTCCGACTGAAAATTGCTGCGAATCCTTTAGTCTTACTTTTTGCACGGATGTGCTGAGCTCTTTCATCATTGAGGATGGGGATATTTGTGCAGGGTCCTCCTCCAGTGAGTTGTTTAATTGTCTTCCATCGTTCACAACAGGACTGCAGTGCTTAGATCTGATCCGCTGGTTGTGGGATTGCTTAATTCTGACTATCACTTTCTGCTCATGCTGTTTGGCAAGCACGTAGTCCTGTTTGGTAGTTTCATAAGGTTGGCACCTCACTTTTAGGTATGTCTGGTGCTGCCTCCTGGCATGCCCTCCTGTACTCCCCATTGTGCCAGGGTTGGTCCACTGGCGTGATGGTAATGGTTGAGTAGGTGATATATCAGACCATGAAGTTGCATATTGTATGGGAATACAATTCTGCTGCTGTTGATGGCCCACAGAACCTCATGGATGTCCAGGCTAGAGTTGCTAGATCTATTCAAAGTCTGACCATTTAGCACAGCAATAGTGCCACAAGACATAATCGAGGTATTCTCAACATGAAGGCGGGAACCTCATCTCCATGTGGTCGTTGCAGTCATCACTGTTACCATTACAGTCATAGACAGATGCATCTGCAGCTGGCAGATTGACAGTGAGGTGGAACATGTTTTTCCCTCCTCCTGCTGGGACCCTCACCACCTGCCACAGACGCAGTCTAGTGGCTATGTTCTTTAGGACGCAACCAGCTCATTCAGTAGTGCTGCTGCCAAGCCACTTAGTGGCGGACATTGAAATCCCCCACCCAGAGTACATTTTGGGCCCTTGCCACCTTCAGTGCTTCTTTCAAATATTTTTCAATATTGAGAAGTACTGATTCATCAGCTGACGGAGGTTGGTACATGGTAATCAGCAGGTTTTTTTGTCCATGTTTAACCTCAATCAAGTCATGAGACTCGATGGTAACTGGCGTCAATGTTGAGAGCTCCCAGGGTAATTCCCTCCCAACTGTATGCTATTGTGGCACTACCACTGCTGGGTCCGTCCTGCCGGTGGGACAGGACATATGCAGGGATAGTGATAGTTGTATCTGGGACATTGTCTGTAAGGTATGATTCCGTGCCAATTTAGTAACACTGCTTTGCAAGGTCGATGGGGCTGTTTCTGACGTTGTCTTTTCCAGTACCTAGGTTGATGGCAGGTGGTCTGTCCAATTTCATTTCTTTGATGAGACTTTGTAGCGATTGATACAACTGAATGGTTTGCTAGGCCATTTCAGAAACAAGTTGAGGGTCAACCATATTGTCGTGGGTCTGGAGTCACATGGTGTCAGCACGACCCCATTGCCCTGTGTATATTGTTCATCTTGATTCCACATGCTGCAGCAGAGACTCAACACAGTTAACAATCCATGATACCACCCTGTGTGGACACAAGTTTAATGTGTCAAGCTGATAGTTATATTCAGAGCTAGAGTGAGACTCAAAGTCACAGCTGTAAAGATGAAACAATGAAATGTATACACGTGTGAAAGGTCACTTGTGCCAAAGCCCCTTCAATAAAAATTCTCCCTCATCCTACCACTTCATCTTCGTGAACTCCCTACTTCTATAGCTGCATGTAGGGAGTCTGCAAAGCAGTCCATTAGCCATGGAGTTTTGGTCAGGCAGCCCCCAGGGTGTTTGGTTCTGGACAGCCCAGATATGTCAAAGATCTCTTAACTGAAGCATGTGAACCATCCTCATCTAAAACTTCCAAGGGTGCAGGTGAAGGGTCCAGCCAACTCTGGAGTTCCTGGAGAAAATCTGACAGACCCACGTTTGGTTGTTCTTCTGGTTGGGTGCCTCCTAGCACCATACTCTCTTCTTGTGAGGAAGAGTCACGTGGTGGAATACCACGTTCCCCGTACCTCTGTCACTACATCTTCACTCCTGATAACCAATGGCTGGGACAATGGAGTGAGGTGTGTAGCTTCTCCAGCAAACCCTCAGAGTGCTGGACTTGGCTTGCTGCAGCAGTTACTAACGTGTCCATGAAGCCAGACAATTGAATGAGTCGCTGCGCTGCTGCAGTTTCTGGACAACAAGGTCAATTGCATCCCACATATCTGTCAGTCGCTCCTCCCTGTGCACGTGGATGAAGTCCTGTGCACGTGGATGACACCACCAAGTCCTCTCCGGTCTAGGGCTGAGCAAGTGCTTGGTCACCAATAATCATCTGATTTGTCAGTGGCCTGGGGTATTACTCTCCCTCCCCTCAGCCAGTTACAGAGGTTTCACAGTGAGGTGCTCACCAGATTGTAATCCCAAACTTTAACACTAACATCCTCCTTGGGGTGTCTGCCTCCAAGGTGAATGGGGTGGGCACAGCATTCAGCCATGCTGATGCTTCTCTGGCCTCAGTGTGTTCGATCTTGGAGGTTGAAGAGGTGGCTTCTGGGGAGCTAGTCATTTCTCCATGCATGTACTCAGTCCTCTAGATATAAAGGCCGGGATTCCATTAGCTCTCTTGATTATTTTCTGTATAGGTTCTTGGCATTTTTAAAAATTTATTCACCTGAACCCCCAAATCTCTTTGGACATCCACTGTATTTAATTTCATACAAACTAGAAAATACCCTGATCTATCCTTTTACAGTCCAAAATGGTAAGTTCTGTTGCTTACATTGAACTCCATCTGCCGGGGTTACACTGAGAGTTGTAGTGGAATGAACAATGTCACTTATCATTCGGCACTTTGGCATCTCTACAGCAGTCCCAGTTTTGTCTGTGACAGCCAGGATTCTCTCTACTTATGGGCTGAGGAACCAAACATTGGGCAGCCCTCCACTCGTCCAGGCCCTTTTTACCCTACTGTGGGTTGTTTTCTTCAGGAAGGAGTGTAAGTTCTGGACTGAGTAAGATGAAAGATGGTGGGGTGCTTTGGTGGAATGAGTAGGCAGTGTCGAGTTGGTGATGTGGAAAGTTGAGGCTGACAGCCGGTGAGGGAAGATGTTGCCGGTGATACTAAGATTGGCAGAGCATGAGGTGTGAGGCGGAAGGTGTGTGCTGTAGCAGAGATAGAATGAGCCTGAGGTGACAGAGAGAAGATTGTGTCACTTACTTAACCTGGTAGAGCAGAGAAGATCATTAACTTTCTTACAGCACTGCTAGCCATTCTACCACATAGTTAAGACAGCACTGACTTGATTGATCATCTCTAATTGGCTTGTCAGGGTCTAGTGGCATGACCTCCTCTGCCAGTGCTCCAGCAAGAGGACTCCTTTCCTTCATACCACTGCTCAACCAGGACTTCCCAGTCCATGTCAGAGACTCTTAGCATTGTCTTTCCATTCTCAGACATGTTCACATTCTATCTTTGATCAAGCAGGATAGTTTCAGAATGCCAACACTTGACCGGGTGCACAGCAGCGTTTTAAATACGGCACAGGCAACAGTTATACTAGTCTATCAGCAGATGTGCAATGAGTAGCAAGATGTTCCAAAACAACAGGTGGTAGAATCAGATGCGACTGATTCAATTACCACCTATCTGCTCTGATTGCATTAACAAATATTTGGCAACACAAGACGAGAAATCTCTCTGGGCCTGGTGGTAAAAATCCATCCTAAAAACGTGACAGCAACTGGTGTTAAGCCAAAAAACAATATGTAAGGTTCAGTTCCATTTATTTCTTTCCTCAAATGAAAGTGCTTTGCAGCTAAATCTCTCAGATGCCAAAGCAGGGATCAGAATCTGCCATATAAAAAACAAGGAAAATAAACTAGAATTTTGGCATTTAATGTCACATGAAAGTTATTTTCTAATGAAATAATTAGAAACCAAACCAGAAAGTAGGATTAGTGAAAAACAAAATTTTAAATGTTGGTCCTTTATCCCTAGAAGCCTATTGCGTGAATACAATTCAGTGGGTTGAAAAAGACAGAGTTAGGGGAGAGAGAGCGAGAGCAGGAAGAAAAAGATTAACAGAGAATGTAGATAATCAACTTCAGCTTGTGTGAAAGCTGGAGTTGTATTCATGTGACCAAAACAAATTTGTCAAGCAACCAATCAACCTCAATTAAATAACTGCATTTCCCAAGTGCAAAGGAAGCAGTTTTAAAGAATGAGTAACTTTAAAGATGGACAGTTGGAGGACAGGAGGTGGGCGAGTCCTCCTTTCAAATTCATCAACAATTATTTACACCAGCATTCGAAGGGTGAGGAAAATTGAAACCATTACTTTAGCTCTCAAAGTGAATCAATTTTGTTTTTATAAATATACAACTTTCTTGGCCAGCAGCACAAAACAGACAACAAGGATAACTTGGCACTCTGAATTTATTTCAAAAATAAATTCAATAGAAATAAAGGAATTGGGCCAAGTGTAATATGGGTTGACAATCTGCCATTGCTTGTATTCCCCATCACCAGTTAAAATTTCATCCTCATAGATCTAGTTAGCATCAAACAGCATATTTCAAAAGCCTAATAGAAGACTATTTACATTTTAAAAGCGGAATATTGCAAGTGCTGGAAGTCTGAAATAAAACATAATATTTTAGGTTTTCAGATCAGCTCAGCTCAACATGCTGAATTAAACCAAGGAATTAACACTGAATGAAAAAGAAAAAATGAAAAACACAAATTCTAAATGTATCACTAAATGAAGCATTTAAAACAATGCAGATAGAAATACTCACACCAGAACCAAGAACAGTTCTCAGTTCAGTTACCTTTCAGTCATTTTTAGAAATGCCAACAAATTTGCTGCATATTTCCAGCAAATTCTCTTTGAACGGATATCAATGATCTATCTTACCTTGGTTTGAATCGTTTTTAGTTCGGTTTCCAATCGCCTTCTTTCTTCCACTTCTTTATTGTATTGTTCCTGTAATTCCTCTAGTTTTGGATCTGTGAATCAACAAAATGACTTGGTATCATACAAGCCCTGTAATTTTGCTTCAGAAATTTGATTTAAAAAATTAACCTTTTTGAACATTCTACAATATTAGTCATGATTGTATTCCCCAGTTAGCAGCACAGACCTGTCCATGATATTTAAATGAGACTCTTGGTGTTCCAAATCATACTGACCCCATATATTGGCAAATCTTAGGCATGGCAGCTACAAGAAGCATTATAATCAATGACACAAGCAGCTAAATATCAGCCTAGATTATACGCGAGAGTCTTGAACAGGGCTTGGTGCATAAACATGTGTCTCAAAACACAGCGTGTTACCAATAAGCTCAAGGTAACACTTGTGATTTACTCTGTAATGTTTAAATCTTTTAAAACATTACAATCTATTCCCAGGAATATTCTTACTTGGTGTCACAGATCCAGAGAGATTTCTTTGTGGCGTTCCAGACTGTGCGTCTCCTAACATTACAGTCAGCTGGCTTCGTTCAAGTTCTGACTTGTATCTATAAAAACAAGATTGGTAGTTCGATGAAAATCTGATCTAACTGCTTTTAATTCACAGAAGTAGAATTAGTTATAAATTTGTTTCACAGACGAATATAGAAAAAAATCTTTCAAATATAGTTCAGCCTATCTACACGATTAAAAATTGAGTTAGACAATGACTTGTCAGCAGTTTTCCTGGGCATCTAGAGGATGCTATTAATTCTCTGGACCTATACTTCTTCCATCTTCCACAAATGGCTATGTAATCTAGCCACCAATTTTATTTTAGAGCTTCTAACTCCTAGCTCAGTGGTTCCCAACCTATTCAGTATCAATGCACTCTTTAATGAAGCAAGCAATTCCACAACGACCCACCTTTTTCAGTTGAACTAATTACTTATACAGGTCACATTTACTATGCCATAGTAGCAATAGAGATACAGAGCAATCGATGAGGCTCCCCACTCACTAACCATCCATCAAACAGCTGCCTTTCAACATGTGCCCATCTTGCAGAGGTTGCCACGTGGTCTAGTCATGGAGAGGAGGCCCAGTCATGGACAGGAAGCCCATTCATCTGCAATGGCAGCTGCCCCCCACTGTGTGAGCCAAACCCCTGTCCCCTGGATTCAGCTCTAAGGGCTGGCTCTGCAAGTTGCAGTTCCTGCACTTACCATTTTCTCAGCTCTGCTCTGGTGAAGCCCTAATGACCTGCAGTAGCAGCAGCACTTGATCCAACTGACTCAGTCCAGGTGCAAAGGCCAAAAGGTAACAGACTCACCAACCTCAAGCACTGAGTGAAACTGCTGTGCACCAAACACAGCTACATCTCCCGCCCCACGATAACAGCACCTGCTATCAGCAGGTAAAGCACACTGCTTCCCAAAAATTCCATGGCATACTTCTCACCTTGCTGCAGCACACCACCTGAAAAACATTAACTAGCCCACACAACATCACACTGTTAAACACTAGCTTATAAAGTTAAATTGCAATATGTAATTTGTTAAAAGGAACATGTCCTTCTCATATACAGAGTACATTATGCCGTTATATTAAATGCTATCCTCATTAATTTAACTTCAGAAATGACGTTTGTTTAACTGCAGATTTTTATTGAATCTCCAATCTTCTTTCCTGAAAATCAACAGGTTGCTGGCATGTAATTCCACAAATACCAATTAGCCTCCAATATCTAATCCAAAAAATTCAGCTCATTGTGAACATACTGACAAGATCTGTGTTTCTGTGTCACATACTGACAAGGATAGAAAGTTAGTTCGCTAACAAGCAGCACTAATAGATCTTTTCCACATCAACAAAATGCATTGAGTTGTGTACCACAGGGATCGGTGGGTTATCTTATGGGGCAAGGCTGGATAGGCTAAGCTCGCATATGCTGGAGATTAGAAGAATAAAAAGTGATTTGACTGAAACAGCAAAAGATCCTAAGAGTATCTGACAGTTTAGATGTGGGGGGAGGGTGTTTCCTCAGATAGGAGAATTTAGAAATGTGGTGGTGGGAGGGGACGCGGTTTGGTGTGGTGGTGGTGGCACCATTTAATAATCAGGAACAACTCATTTAAAACAGAACTTAAATGATTTTGCTTCCTCTTAACAAGCCACAAGTGTTTGGAACTCTTCCTGAAAGGGTAGAAGCAGGATCCTTGAATATTTAAGGCACCGGTAGATATTCTTATTAAGCAAGGAGGTTAAAAAGTTATCTGAGATAGATGGGAATATGGATTTGAGTTTGAGAACAGCTTATTGAATGGTGGAGGAAGCTTGAGGGCTGAATAGCCTATATTGCTTCTAAATCATATGTTATTTACTTTCAAAATCAAAATGAAAAGCTTGAGGTATATGGGCCAGGAGCAGGCAGGTCAAATTAAATTAGTTAGGGATTATTTTCAGCATGGGCTGGTTGGACCAAAGGGTCTGTTTCCGTGCTGTATAACTGTGACTAAATAAATAGAAAGCCAGCAGACAGTTTTACCACATTTAACGTCATTACAGCAGAATCTGATACTGCCTTCAATATGATGGCTATGAATGTACATTCTCATTTGGAATTTACCAGATACTGATGAGGAATGGAAATATAGCAAATGTTTATCTCTGCGTTGCAGAGGAACTGAAGACAATTCAAGCACTGTCGCAAGCAACTGTATAGAACAATTAGCGAGCATAAACGGTTAATTTTCTGGTATTTACAACTTAGCCACTCACCAACTGAACCCGGTGAACTGAAATGATCTTTCACTTTCATAACTACAGCTAGGAGAGTCCTGAAGTGGTAATACCTGACTTGAAACATGAACTCTGTTTCAGTCTCCAAATGCTGCTAAATTTGCTGAGTTTCTCCAGAATTTTTATTTAATAACTAGGAGATGGAGGACAAAACACATCTTATGCAAATAATCTGCTCTGTTATTTCAATTCATGAGGCAGTTTAAATATCACCCTCTGGTGGCTAACTGTTATACCATCAGGTTTCCTGATATTACTTAATTGCAATTAACATTTGAACATTTGTAACCAACAAGTTAGTGTCGCATATTTTCTGAGAGAATATGTTCCAAAGTTTTACATTAATGAGGAGGACATAGTTTACTAAGGTAGGGTTTGTTTGCTTCACCTAATTGTTGTTTCCAGCAGCGCTCCATCCCTGACTTTGGTAAGAAACAGTGCCTCCTTAGTTCTTTGTATGCCCATGCATTATATTATCTTGAGCCAATTTATCAGCACAGTATAAAATCTCCATTACCTCTTGTTCTCTTGCTCAAGTTTATCCATCCGTATCTTGTTTGATGCAAGCTGTCCTTCCAGGTAATTAACTTGTGATTCCTTCACTTGCAGATCATGGGAAATTTTCTGTCTGATTTTCTCAAGGTTTTCACATGATTCTATTAAGTTCTGGTGTTCACGCTTCAGAGCACTTGTTTCAGTCTTTTCATTCTCTACCTGGTTTACAAACAAACAAATAAACTCATGGAAAACGTTATCAATAATATTTTCAACCATAGAAAGAAAACTTACAGGTTACTTTACAACAAACATAAACTCCGTTTTCTCCCCTTTCTGAAAGTTTTAACATGCTAATAGGCGATTAATCTTCACCAGCTATTTTCAGTGGTTTACTGTGGATTTCAACCCATACAATGAGCTTCAGTAAGCTATTTTCCCACATAAGCATCATAGCGAGAATAGATTTAAGATAAAATTATGCTTTTAGCATGAATTTACAAGTATCTGTGCAGTTGTTGACAGTACTCTCATACTATCCTTTGAGTCAGAAGACATCCACACAAACAGGGTGAATTTCTATAAAGAATAGTGGAAACTGCTGAAAAGCAGTTCAATAAACGTCTTAAAACAGAGAATCAGGACAGCAACTGAAGAAATTCATTCCTGCAGTCAAGCAGACACCCCAACACCCTGTTCACATACTGTACCATTGTCAGAGATTTGACCCTTTGGACTTGTCCTGTCTACTTGCTCAGAGAGTCAACATTTGACAGTTCATTATTCCAAAAACAGCAGAAATCTCCCTTAGACAATGTTACTGTCAGGTAAGATCAAAGAAATCATTCATCCAATTACTGTCTGCACTTCGTACAAATCAGTTGCCATATTCGCCTATAACACAGTTACTCCATTTCAAAGTTATTTGTGGTGTGTAACATGCTTTTGGGAATATTCAGAGACAAGCAGAAAATAAATTCAAGACTTGTAAAGAAAATTTTGACATTTGCAAGTGTAAAAAACAACTGAATTAGTATATGCAACGAAAAGGACAAGTTTTCTTCCCACTCCTTCTTTAGCTAATACACTACTTATTATATCCTTTCTACTTCAATCATCTACAGATTTGGAAAGGGAAAATAATCTTTCTTTCTCCCACTGCGGTCACACTGTCACCAGCATTACAGTTAAAGAGTGTTACCACAATATTCAATCACCCCAGGTTCACTGCATGCCCATGTCCACTGGAAAAGGGGGCAGATAAGAGAAAATTTGTCTGCCAAATTCAGTTCCATGATTGTGGTGTAACAAAAAGAATATCTCTTGTACCCATATTGGTGCAGGCATCCTCTACGGGTGCCCAAGTGGCATTCACCAGCAAAAAAAAAATCCCCTCTATTCTTTCATGAGATGTGTATGTCAATGGCAAGGCTAACATTTGTTGCCCATCCCTAATTGTGCTTGAACCATTTTAGAGGGCAGCCAACTTTCAACTACTTTCTGTAATTCTGGAATCACATGTTGATCAGACTGGGAAAAGATGGCAGATTTCTTTCCATAAAAGGACATTAGTGAACTAATAATCAATTATAGCTTCATTGTTATTATTATGAAAACACATTGCCTAAGAGGCTGGTAGAAACAAGTCCAATTCTGACTTTAAAGCTTTTGAGAAGATTTGTAGCTCGAGTTGTAGATGAGGTTGTAGACTCGCTTGCCGAGCCAGTGCGTTTGGTTGCAGACGTTTCGTCACCCTGCTAGGTAACATAGTCAGTGGGCCTCCAGTGAAGTGTTGGTGTTCTGTGCCGCTTGTTATTTATAAACTTCAGTTTGCTGGGGTGGTTGGCATTACTTCTGGAACTCCATCAACAAACACATTGAACTGGACCCTGTGTACAAACCATTGAAAAACAGAACCACAACCAAACGCACCGGCTCAGCGAGCAAGTCTACAACCTCAGAATTCTGACCGTCAAAAAGAAATTTGATGTTTAGCTAAAGGGAAGAAAAAAATGCAGGGCTACAAGGTAAAGGCAGGAATGTGAGATTAGTAGGACTTGCTCTTGCAGAAAGGCAGCACAAAAATGACAGGTTGAATGATCTCCTTCTGGTGCTGCATCTCCCTTCATTGATCAGATCTCTAATTTTAGTAAAATATAGTGGCTAATACCGAAGAAATATTCTGGATTATAACACCATCCAAAACTCCCAAAAAGTTATTGCAATAAAATACATTTTAACATATTATTTCCTACATTCTAATTATTTCTATGGTTTTTATTTAGAAATCTTCACAATTGTACATGTTCTTCCAATAAATTTAATCTTTCATTTGCAATTATTGAACCTAACATTAACTTTACATACTGGTTCTCTCATTTGCTTTATTTCCAACACCAAAAATGTGCCATCACAATACATTCTATTACTAAATAGCTCTCATTTCGAAAACACTATACTTCAGTAGCAGAATTGTACTTTTTTTTAAAAACATGTCTAAATGTTCCTGTCGTCATTATTCATCTGTTCCCTTAACTTAAATATAAACATTCTTTCTTGATATTCGTGTTTATATGTCTCACTTCAAAATCTTCTAACTTGCTCCATGAAGTCAATGAAGTACTCTGAAGCAAAGTCACTATTCTCATGTAGTTGACCATCAAAGTCAATTTGCACACAAGATCCCATAATCAGGAATTTGTATTAGTGATTTTTGGTAGAATGATAAATATTACCAGGACATCAGTAAAAATTCCACGCTCTTTCAAGTTTGCTTGACAGAAACGGTTTAGTGCTTTACTCAAAAGCAGCAACTCGGAAAGTGACTTGAATTTACAACAACGGTCAAGAGCTTAAAGTGCTCCAGCTAAGTTGAAGTCACATTATACTTCTAATACTGTTAACATTGATAAGGTGATAAGTGGGAAAGTGATGAGTGGCCTGTTACTTGAAGCACATGGTACCTACCTAATCCACATGGGATTAATATTGGAACACTGACCCAGTAGTAGTATGCAAGACGGCAGTGGTCTCAGTTGCATTTGTTGATCTCATTCTTTGCAGTAGTTCATATTTCAGGAAAGAATACCACTGTTGAAATAACTTTGGTCAGTTGTATGTGGGAAAATTCCCAAGCTTTAGATATCTTAACTTGCAAACTATAGCTATTTGGGGTTTGGATTGTACAAAACCATTTTTAATATTTCCAGAATAGACTGAAATGTGTTGGAAACCCATTTTCATTGGAATAGGAAATTTATTACTGGTGGTTACTAGACCTGAAGCACATTAACCTGCACAATGTTGACACTAGTAGTAAATACCACTTAACAATGACTAAAATGGCATTTACAAAGGCCAAAATGCAGCAATGCACTTGGTCCTCAGGGATACGTGCACCATAATCATGAAGCATGCAATTAAAAGTACCTTCTTTAAATGATGGATTAATTTCACTATACGTTGCATACAAGTTAAGCAGAATGAGTTAAATAAAGTTGCAGAAAGTTTGCTGCAGTGGAGTTGACAAAATCCACAACCCATCCCAAAGCACTTCACAACCAAAAGTTAGTTTTCAATGCAGTCACTGTTGTTACCATAGGAAACCGTAATGGCCAATTTTATTCTGCCAACTGACATTAGTGGTTCATGAAGTTTTGCTATGTGCAAAATTGGTTGGTACTTTTTCTTAACAAAAGAAAAAAATAGTTTAAATCCTCAAGCCCATCAGGACACTTAAAATTACAACACTCTAGCTGAGCCAAGAAGAATAACTTCCAGCAAAAAAAGAACTTGACATCTATGAACAACTAAGCTATTTCTAAGAAAGTGTAGAATGATCACCTTTTGCTTTTGCTTGAACAAAGCAGCTTCCAGAGATTCTAGTTGAAATTGTCGCTGCTGGCGCTCCTTTTTGAGTTTATCCAACTGAGTTTCAATCTCCTGTATCTTCTGGAGCGCCTTTGTAGGCAAACCCTGTTTCCACTCTTCTGCTACCCAACTCATTTTGCTCAATTTTGTGAAAAATTTAGATCATGATCTAAGAAACAAAAATTTTAATTAGTCAGTGCCATTTACAACATCAGAGAACGCTGGACATTCCATCAAGCTCTGAGAGAGTTCTAAGGTTATGCATCAATAGAAACGTATTGCAATTTCAAAACCCAAAATAGAACTACTGAATTTAAATGAAGTTAAACTTAAGTATTACCATTAAAATACCAGAGATGATGGAACAGAAATGACAGTTTAAATAAGTTCCCACTAGGATGAAAGGAAACAAGGCTATTAGTTTTGATTATCAATGGCAAAAAGGGCTATGGGGATAGTGTGGGTAAAAGGCACTCAAGCGTTTGATCAGCCATGATCATATTAAATGGTGAACCAGGCTCGCTGGGTTTAATGGCCTACTCCTATTCTTAGTCCAAGATTAATAACAAGGAAGCTGTCAGGTGGTTTAGACAATTTGGGAAGATGTTAGCCTCCCATTTGAAAAGTTATTTCACACACACAGTCACTCATCAATTACTGCTCTACATCAGTGGAATTGCATAACACATTCCAGTACATCAGCTCTTGTGACTGTTTTGGAGTTAATCTCCTGAGTGGATGAAGTTTCAAGAATTCTTGCCCTTGCTACACATACACAAACCCGACAAACTTGCAAGATTGACTAGATCAATTAAAATGCAGAAATCTTTCTGGATTGCATGAACCACTTGCATGCCATAGGAAGTTCGGACTTAGAAAGAAACATATCATGCAATTACAAATCTTTCATCTTCAGAATTCTGCAATCTAATATTTACAAATTTCAAATCAAACCAATGCACAACTATCAGCTTATCACCGATGAAAGCTGTATAATTTACTAATTGGTAATTTTTGAAATTTGATACATGCAGGTGTATTTTTTACTTCTCTGAAGGACTTTTCTCCACAAAATTAAAAAAAAAGTGAGGCTATCCTTCTGGAACAGTAATTAAATGTAGTCTTTGTTAGAAAGCAGGTGATTGCAAATCCTGGGTGTTAATCAAAAGATTTTTATACTGTTGTGCTTATGACATTAACATAAAAATCCAAGGCCATTAGATTTGTTTTCTGTTCAGAAGAATCTAGTTTGAAGGGAGTCATTTTGTTTTCAAAAATCAGTTCGGACAACACCAATGTTGAGTTTGGAAGCAAGGGTAGTTTGTCTTCTAGGTGGAACTTTTCAGGGCAGCTCTGGGAACTGGGTACCTCAGCGGAAGGGTTTTAGTTTAGAAAACTTCCAAACCAGGGCATTATATGTGCAGGTTATTAGAATGAAGAAACATTAGGCTCTCAGATTTGAGAAGTCAGCAGATTTGGAAAGGACTCCAATTTTGTCCACAATTCCAAGCCCAAAAAACTGTCACAAGTCAATTAAGTGGAATCCTAAAGAGTTGAAATAGGAGGGCTAATTTCTCTGAACTAGAGTCTCTATAATGGATAGTGTCAGGAAATGTTTAGAAAATTTTGTTGCTGTGTCTTTCAAGTCTTGTTATCTTCCATATTTACAGCACCTCATTTTTATTTAAGGTTAGAATTTAAAGTGCTGGTGGCAAGCAACGGAGAAATGTGCACTCATGCAGAGGGAAGTTACATTGCTGAAGGTAACCATGGTCACGTGATAATTCAGGGTATATGGGAGAACATCAAAACAACCTTCTAGACAAATAGACAGGCTTGTTATCATGGTTACAACCTTCTTGCTAAACTCCACTGCCATTAACAATGTGTCTCTTTTGACGATGCAGTGTTCCACACAAGTGTTTCTGATAGGTCTTCCTGGCTGATGATTCGGTCCTCCAACATGTTTGATCTATTCCATGTGCTTTTATTCTCACTTTTTTCCTAAAAAACTGAGATATGGTTTCCCAATCAGCCTCTATTCAAGGGACAACCCTCTGCCATTTTCACTAACTAATGTGATGTCATGAATAAACATCTGTCCCTGACACAAAAACAAAGTTGCTGGAACAGCTCAGCAGGTCTGGCAGCATCTGTGAAGGAAAGAACAGT